GATGGAGACTGTTCCACAGTCTGGGTGCTGCCAGAGAAGGCTCTGTCACCTCTAGTCTTCAGCCTAGCTTTAGGGACAGCCAACAAAAGCTGGTTGGCTGACCTCAGGGCTCAGGATAAAGTGTAAGGCTGCAGCAGCTTGCTTAGGTAAGATGGGCCCATGTAGTTTAAACACTTAAAAACAATCAATAAAACTTTAAATTTCACCCAAAAAGCAACAGGGAACCAGTGAAGGGACTGTAAAATGTGGGTAATAGATTCACACCTCTTTGTGTTCATCAACAGCCAGGCTGCAACATTTTGGACTCTGCAATCGCTGCATGGAGCTCTGGTCCAACCCGAAATACAAAGAATTACAATAATCCAAACACGATGTAATAAATGTGTGGATAGCCCTCTCTAGATCAGGCCAGGAAGATAAGGGTTTTATCTTTGCAAGTGTCCTCAGCTGGAAGAAACTGGCTTTGATAACAGCACTAATATGCTAATATGATTTAAACAGAGGATCAACCATCACACCCAGGGTTTTTTACAAACGAACGACATAAGGACGACAAAGGACCAACCACACTGTCCTGCCCAATCGGGATTGCATTGACCGAACACCAGAATCTCTGTTTTTTCCTTATTCAGGTTCAGAAAATTAGCTCTTAACCATGCCTGTATGTCCCTAAGACAATCCTGTAACATAAGTTCAGCAGACTGGCTGTCATTTGTAGTTACAGGTAGACATATTTGAATATCAGCTGCAAAGCAATGAAAAAAGACTTTGTGCTTTTTAAATATAAAACCCAGAGGCAGCAAGTATAAGGCAAAAAGAACAGGTGCTACTATCGACCCCTGGGGCACCCCATATTTCAGAGGAGACACAGAGGAAGAGTACTGACCTAGATTTACAGAAAAACTCCTATTTGATAAATAGGATCAAAACCAGTTAAAACTGTACCATGAATCCCAACAAGTGACTCCAGACGGCTCAAAAGGATGCTGTGGTCCACAGTGTCGAAGGCAGCGGACAAATCTAAAAGTAAGAGAACTGCTGATTTTCCTGCATCAGCAGTTAAAAGAAGGTCATTTAAAACTTTTAAAAGGGCAGTTTCAGTGCTGTGCCATATTTTAAAACCAGACTGAAAGTTTTCACCAATGTCATTTAGGTCAAGGTAAGACTGCAGTTGGACATACGCAACTACAATTTTTCATGACACCATTTGTTTATTTGGTTGCCGTTTTCTCAACCAAACAACATTTGTGTTACTGTAGGGAGCACACAGAGACCATGTTTATGTTGATTAGGCTGCTGATTGTATCAGTCTGCCTGATCAGTGTCGGTCCAAAGTACTCATTTCCCTGGTGTTCAGTCTCTTATCTCATTAGAGGGCATTTTAACTGAATTAACAAAAATTTTGTGATTTTTACTCTGAACTTTTAACACAGTGGTATGCAGAATGTGAAAAATGTTCACAGAGCTTCACTTTTGCAACATTTTATGTTACAGCCTTATTCCCTAATTGATCCCCCCCCCCCCCCCCCCACACACACACACACACACACAAAGACAAAGTGAAAAATGTTGGAATTTTGTACTTCTTTATTAAAAATAAAATAAAAACAGTAATATAGCATGGGAACAAGTATTCAAAGCCAGACACTAAACTGAGCTTTAAATCCTAACAAAGTTGTCAGGTCCTCTGGACAGTTTCTTCTTGATGAAACATTTCATCTTTCTTCCAAAAGTCTTCATCAGTCTGAGGAGCAGCAACAAACGCAGTCTTATAAATAGCACCTTCTCATAGTGGGTCAACCAGTTTGATGGTGCTAAGATGGTTTCTGGAGTCCACCCTCTCCCCAACGACAGTCATGGCCAAAGGTGGTCATGGCCACCTGAGCACCATCAAACTGATTGACCCACTATGAGAAGGTGCTATTTATAAGACTGAGTTTGTTGTGGCTCCTCAGACTGATGAAGTCTTTTGGATGAAAGACAAAATGTTTCAACAAGAAGACACTGTCCAGAGGACCTGACTTAACTTTGTTAGATTTTTCTACCTGGTTTACCGAGCATGAATCAGGATATTTACCATAGAACATCCAGTTTCCACAGATCATTTCTCAGATGTTTCTACAACTTGAATGGATGAGTTCAGTAGATTGGACTAGATTTGGGAAGACACACAGTTGTCTTTACAAGGTCTATGTATTTTAATCAGAATCAGAATAAGTTTTATTATCATTGCACTGAGATACAACGAGAATATGTACGTACAGTCATCCGAAAGATGGGTGGAGTGCACAAAGCTGCGGTTATAAATAGCACGGCCCTCTTATTATTATTCAGAATAATATTTTGCTTAGATGAGAAAACGGAAGAAAACATGAGGAGAGACGGTATTAAAAAAGATCTCTCACACCGTGTCCTAGACAGGGCACGATTTGAGGCATCAAAAAAACATACCACAGCAAAGCAACATAAACAGACGTTATACATGAACATATAGGCCGGTGAAAACATTGAATTTTTAAGGGAAAGTCGTAGCATAGTCCAGAGTGCCCCCCCCCCCCCAGCCATTGTCCAGATAAGAGGTGACATTCATCTTCAGCTGGGTTGAGGTTCTGTTACATGTCCATGGCCTTGGGGAAAGGAGGGGTGAGGAGACAGACAAAGCATCTTTGTTATTTTCAAAACATTCTCGGAGGAGTTGCGATAAGTCCGGCGTCAAGGCCACAGTTTGGGTCAAGCAGAACTCATGAATTGCCGTTTCTGCCTTTTTAAAGTCTTGCTGGTATATATTCCTCTGATGGAACTCCAAAATAGCCGAATTGATTCTTTACGCCAAAAGTCGAGCTCACAGCTTCTCCAAGATTATTCCTACCATTCATGTGTGCTGCTATAGAGTTCACAGTCCTGATAACTGCCTGCTCCAGCTCCCTGCTGCAGCTCCGCAAATTCAGTCTGAGCACTGTCGAGCTTCGACACATCCCAAAGAATTTATAGACAATCCAGAATTCACCGGCCAAACAGCAAAATAACCAGTTGTCATCATGAATCCAATTTGTTTCCGTCGAGGTAAGAGGGTCCTCCTTATGCCCTGACTCCTGTCAGGAGAAATTGATCAATTTAAGGTCCTATAGTTGACAGAACATGTCAAGTCAAGATGTTTAAGGAGCTGTCTGTAATCTCAAAGACATGACTGAATCAAGGCACAGATCTGGTACAGAATCATTTCTTCTGCACTGAAGCTCCCATTGAGCTCAGAGGCAACATCTTTTGTAACTGAAATAAGTTTAGGACCTCTGAGACTGTTTCTAGAGCTGACTGCTTGGCTAATGTGAGCAACTGGGGTAGAAGAATCTTATTTAAAATGTTGACAAAGAACCTAAATGGTTCCAATATAAAAAAGAAATCATTGTCTAAATGGAGTATTGTCTGTTGAAGAAAAAAAAATCAGTTTAGGAATAAAGCTGTAAAAATGTGCAAAAAGTAAGGGCTGTGAAAACTTTCCAGATGAACTGTACCTTGAAAATGCTTCTTGGCTCATGCCAAGACCAAACGGTAAAAAACACAGTGTAGCTGCTGTTGGTGCTCGCAGCTGCAACCACATACCACATCGAGAATAATGTTGTATTCTCACAATCTTACTTGTAAAGAACACAAGGAAATAAGTAACTGATGTGCAGCTCTAAAGTGACAATAAGACAGTCAAATATGTAAATCCCTGTTACACATAAAAGAACCATAAGTATGCCACATACCATGGTAGTGCAGACAGTAAGTTTGCTTCCATTTATTATTGGGTCCCTGCTGTGCAACTTATTTTGGTGTATGTGGGATGTTTCAAAGTTCATGCTCCAATTTTTTAAACATCCATCCATCCATCCATCCATCCATCATTATCTTCCACATGTTCCGAAGTCTGGTTGCAGGGGCATCAGTTTGAGCAGGGAGGCCCAGACATCTCTTTCCACAGCCACCTCTTCCAGCTCTTCTGGAAGGACCCCAAGGTGTGCCCAGGCCAACTGAGAGAAATAGTCTCTCCAGCGTGTCCTGGGTCTTCCCCAAGGTCTACCAGTTGGACATGTCTGAAACACCTCCCTGGGGAGACACCCAAGAAGCATCCTTATCAGATGCCTGAACCACCTCAACTGGCTCCTTTCGATGTGGAGGAGCAGTGGTTCTACTCCGAGTCTCTCCTGATAACTGAACTTCTCACCCTGTCTCTAAGGGAGAGTCCATCTACCCTGCAGAGGAAACTCATTTCTACCTCCTGTATCCACAATCTCATTCTTTCAGTCTCTACCCAGAGTTCATTACCATAGATGAGGGGAGGAACGTAGACCAGGTAAACAGAGAGCCTTGTGTTACAGCTCAGCAGACCAGCACAAAGTCCGCAATACTGCAGACGCTGCACCAATCTGTCTGTCAACCTCACGTTCCATTATTCCCTCACTTGTGCACAAAACCCGGTGGTGAAGATTCTTTTTTCATTCAACCTTTATTTAAACAGATAAATCACATTGAGCCTTGAAGACTCATTTAACTCCTCCACTTGAGGCAGAACCTCACCCTCGACCCAAAGAGCAATCCACCCTTTTCTGACTGAGGACCAATAAATCTGTAGCATCCTGCTGGAGATCACACTGCTGGAGTATCGGATACAGAAAGAGGAGGTGTTTTATTTTCTTACAGCCAGAAGTCAGACACACTGGTGAGATGTTGGCATCAAATGGCACATGGATCCAGATCTGGGTGTGAATCATTTCTAGGTCCAGGGTCTGCAGAACACGCTGTTGTATAGAATTTGGCCTGTTTCAGAGCTGAGTTCTTGTTTTAGTGTGTGTATCATATTGTGTTATTGTTTGTTCTGTTGAGGTTTTGGACAGTTCCACTCTTTAAAATAGATGTTTGGTTGATTGCATGGTTCAGTTCTAATCAGTAAGAAGACTGGAAATGAGGATTTGATCCAATGATGAAGTTAGAAGATTTCCTGTGTTCTCTTCTCACAGCAAACACAGATCCCAGACTACGCTGAACTCATCGTCAAGTTTCTGGAAGCTTTGATTGACAGTTACTTACCAATGGCTGATGAGGAGCGGGGGGAGGAGCAACTACGGACCCCCACTTCCCCGTACCCCCCCACCAGCCAGAGCCAGCTGAGCATCACTGCCAATCTGAACCTGTCCAACTCCATGACCTCACTGGCCACCTCCCAGCACTCACCAGGTGTCTGACACACACACACACACACACACAACTTTAGTTGTTTAACGTCCAGTCAGCATGAAATCAGAATGTTTTTTTTTTATCAGAATGTTTTTTCCCAGTAAACTGAAAGTTGGTCTCGTGTTTTTGAGCTTGAACAGCAAAACTCCACAGAGACTCAAAAAGTGCCGTCAGATTCTAGATGTGTGGGGAAAAAGTGTCCCTGCTTGTTGACTGAGTTTAGAGAAACTGAAGAAAATCACTTGGTCAAGTTTAATTTATTATTTTATTGCTAAAAAGAACAAATTTGAACATTTCTGCTTGAAATTGCTTGAAAACATGCACCAACTTTTAAAGCCCAAAAGTAAACTGAGACTCGTTTTTGAAATAATCTAAAACAAAAAAAAAATTAAGGTTTGATAAAGAAGACATAAAAATGTGAGCAATAAGAGAGTTAAAAAACAAAGTGAAGAAATGTACACGTCTCAAAAGTTATTATGAGTTAATCACACTGTACGTTAAACATTTTGTGGTAAAAATGATTAAACTCCAACTTTTTGTGTGTAAAACGTGTTAAATATAATACTAGTTCAGTGTCAAACTGTGCAACTCATTTAAACTTTGAGTGTTGTGCTGTACACTCTGAGCTGTCGGGCTCCAAACGGGGCGGGCTTTTACCACTTCAAGAAACTGTTGTTGTCTAAGAGGACGTGTTTCTCTGTTTTTCTTTTTTCTTTTATTTTTATATTAACCTGTTTATTGAGAAAGCACATGTTATATTACAACAGCATAATTATATTACATTTCTTTTGCTTTCATGTTTTTTAATTATTTTTTTTTAAACAAAAACAAAACAGACAAGAACTTGGGTGGGGGTGGTAGGGTAACCAAAATACAATCACGTGATCGACATCACTGATTACTGCACCAATCTATATGACGGCAAGGTTGAAAGAAAATCAGATCTAACATGCTTGACATGTTCTGTCCACTTTGATCATCTTTTATAGAAAGTGTCCCTTTGCACTTTGACAGTAAAAAGACAGTTTTCCCAATGTATAGATCTCTCACATCTTTACAGTCTGCAATTCTTGGTGATTCAAGTTTGAGCCATCTCCTCGTTAGGGATTTTTTACTTACTCGTGACCAGTAAAGTGTGCAAAAGTTTTTTATCATTAGAGTTAGAACATTCTGCAAATGTTCGTGGATCTGAGACCAGTATTCGTGGATGGCCTGGCAGTCCCAAAAAATATGTAAATGGTTGGCACCATCTCCCCCACATCTCCCAACAGGTATCCCCAGTTCCCTGATACCTTTACTGGACAGGGGATATGAAAAATCTTACTGTTTTTCCAACAAAATTCACACCATACCTTCAATCTTGTTGTCATTCACTGTGTCTTATATATGTGCTCCCAACTTTCCTCTGGAATTGTCAGGTTACCTTCTTTTTCCCCACTTCACGTTTACATAGACAGTGCTGTCATTCTTACACTGCAGGATGGCATTGTACAATCGGGAAATAATTTTGTTGACTGCTCTGGATTTAGTTATTGATATAAATGTTTCCACCAATCCTAGGTTACTTCCTGATTAAAGTAATTTCTGACTCGTAAATATCTGAAAAAATCGTCTGGGCATAGATCATATTTTCTTTTCAAGACCTCAAAAGATTGATGTGCCCCCTTGTGGACAAATGAATAATAGCTGGTTAGACCTTTTGGAATCCAGTTCTTGAATCTATTATCATGTTGACTCGGGGTAAAGTCTGAATCATAAGCGCACAATTTTAAAACTTTAAAGGCGTTTTCCAAACCACATTTTAATTGCTTCGTTCCAGTCAGATATAATTACTTGTAATATGGGTTCATCTGTCAAATTAATTTTATTCTGCAATTTTGTGTCAGCTATTATGGCTTTAACGGGTAATATTTGATAGTTGTCCCTTCACCATCTTTCCATCCTACAGTGTAATCTGGACAGCACAAATATATTAATGGTCTTAAATGAGCTGCACAGTAATATACTTGTAAACATGGAAGTCCATAACATCAGCATAAAAATGTAAAGATGCATCAGGGATGGTCTGACCTACATTATGTATGTAGATTTTAAAGAGGGTGGGTCCTAAGACTGAGCCTTGTGGTACACCATTGTTGACTGTTAAATAACTGGAGGAAGTACCATTATGTTGAACACATTGCCTCCGGGCTGAGAGAGTTAGAGAACCATCCATTGGTGTGATCTGAGAAACCGATTTCTGAGAGTTTATGACACAAGATGTTCTGATCCACAGAGTCAGAATCTTTAGACAGGTCTAAGAAAAGTGCAGCACAATAATCCTTAGCATCCAGTGCTTCAACAACATCATTAAGAACCTTCAGTGAAGCAGTGGTTGTGCTGTGTTGTTTCCTGAAACCAGATTGATGTGGAGGTAAGATGTTAAATGAGTCCAGGTCATTTTTGATTTGAGAGTTTATCAGTTTTTCTAGAACCTTGGCTAAAATACAGAGTTTAGAGATTGGTCCATAGTTGTTCAGTGAGGTGGGGTCTCCTCCCTTCAGCAAAGAAGAACAAAGGCTGTGATTTCTGCAGTGGTTTCACTAAACCTGCCAGGTAACTAGTTGTGTTCAGCATCCTGGTTAGGTGATCATTGAGAAAGAGAATGCAAGGGAGAGCTGCACTGAGAGTCACCACTTCCTTCCCTTGTGTGAGATCTGTTGCTTGAGGAAATGGGGCTAAAATGTCCACAAGCTCTTTCAACTGAGACCCTTCCCTGGCTGATAAGCAGACCTGGCCTAGAGTTTAGAGAAGGTGGGCCTGTGATCAGAAGGTCGCTAGTTCAACTCCCCAGACCGACAAAATATGGGTTGGGAAGGTGAAACGCCCACACATGCCTCCACCCTTATTTGCCTCACTCTGGGCCCTTGAGCAAGGCCCTTAACCCCACCATCTGCTCCCCTGGGCACCCTAGATGGCAGCTCTCTGCTCCACACAGAGGGCTGTGGTAGCTCTGTAACAACTGCCAAGTCTTCATGCGAGTTAGTTCACTGTGGCGACCCCTGAAGAAGGGAGCAGCCAAAAGAAGAAGAAAACACTCTAAAATGTGTAAGACTGATAAAAAATTAATTTTTAGCAAGATGTGGACATCAAGTATTTATTTACTGAAGTATAAGAAAAAATGTATTGTTTATTGTGTTAAGAAAACAGTTTAAAGCTATTGAGCTAAAATTTGGTCTGGTAGAAGTTGTCATCCTCAACACATAGTCCAAGCTCTAATAGATCATTTGAGATGTCTCAGGATCACGTGAGATCCTCTTCAAGGATTCAAGGTTCATTATGTGTCATTATGTTCACAGGGTCCCAGTTACATCCAACAATAAAATGTATAAGAAAAACAGTAATAACATCTAAGATATGAACTAAGAAAAACATCAACTAAATATACACTAAGCACTCATAACATAAAACATTACGTCGAACAGCAGCACGAACATGAGTCTGTGTGAGCAGATGTGCACGCATGAACACATCAACATGAAACAGATCAGCAGCAGCATGAAACAGATCAGCAGCAACATTAAACAGATCAGCAGCAACATGAAACAGATCAGCAGCAGCATGAAACAGATCAGCAGCAACATTAAACAGATCAGCAGCAACATTAAACAGATCAGCAGCAACATGAAACGGATCAGCAGCAACATGATGTGTTTATCCTCTTTTATCTCTTATTTTTAGAGTTGGACCAAAACATTCACAAGTCCATCATTTCATCATCGGATCATCTCGATCTAAAACTGTGGCATGAACGGCGGCGGGCAAGATGCATTCCCTCAAGGAATGTAAGACTTTATTTGGAAGCTGAATTTGTCCTCTTTGTGCTTTCCAGGTGTGGACAAAGAGAATGTCCAGCTGTCCCCCAGCTCAGCTCTGTCCAGTGGGGGGCGCACTCGCCATGGCTCAGCAAGCCAGGTGCAGAAGCAGCGCAGTGCAGGCAGCTTCAAGAGACCCAGTATCAAGAAGATCGTCTGATCCACTTTCTGCGCCCTCAAAGACAGAAGAAGAAGACACTGCCAGGTGTTCAGGCTGCGATCACTCTCACTCCGTCCTCCTCCTCCCACAGTGTCAGTGCTTTAGAAGAATTTGGACTTTTCTTTGAGGAACATTCTGGAGGGTGAACTGGAAACATGTCTGCTGCTCACTGGGATCCACATGACGGCTGTCCTTCATTGAAAACTTGGCTGATGGGAAAACCAGGATTCAGACTGCAGCGGGACACACTTTAAGCTGAAGTCTGATTGGCTGCTTGTTTTCAGGTTCTGTGACAAAGACCAGAACCTCTCTCTGGATCTACCCACTTCAGTCCTGTACATATTTGATATAGACTGATGTAAAATATTTTGTGTTCCTGTAGATGTTGCTGTTTTCTCCATTGTGTGCCTTTGTCAGGGTTTTTCAACATGTACAATCTGTAAAGTCAGAGTCAGCCCTCGTGGGGTTCAACGAACAAGATCTGATTATGGAGGAAAGATGTTGGTGTTACCACAAGTACAAATGAGTCCGATGACGGTCCAGCTGAAGTATTTATCCATGAGAAGAAAGCAGTCTCACACAGATCTTCCTCTGCTCCATCACATTCTATCATTTTAATCTCTAACACTTGGTGCAGTACGGAACACTAGAAGAATCAAATGGCCACATGCTTTTAGGGTTTTTTTATTATTTTTTTACTCTGCTTCATATTTTAGAAACGTAACATCTGTTTACAACTTTAACCACAATGATCATCCAGAACCAAAACAAAATGGTTTCACATCTAACATTCATAGTGTTGGCACGCTCCTGGGAAGAGTTATCTCCAGAACCTGACTGGTCAGAGGCTCCACAACGAAAAAGAAAGTCCACCCACTTTCAGTTTTACAGTTTTATATTTGAAGACATTAGAAACTTGAGCTGGTTTTTACCAGGTTCTAAAATGATTCAAATGGAGTGAAAACCTGGTTCCAGCATCTGATAACCTCATTTACCACCTCAGTAAGTAATGATTTTCTGTAGGACTTCATCAGTCTCTCGTAGCAGTGAGCACAGTGTGGACCACAGAGAAGAGGGTGTCCTCTGCTGATCGATTCTTGCGGCATGCATACTGGTGAGGGTCCTCGCTGATGTTGATGGTAGCTTTGATATGCGCCATGACCAGTCTTTCAAAGCATTTAGTGATTATCGGGGTGAGGGCTACTGGCCGGTAGTCATTCAGTCCAGCCACTGCAGAGCTCTTAGGAACTGGGATGATGGTGGCGGTCTTCAAAACAGGTGGGAACAGCTGCCAGGGTGAGGGAGGAGGTAAAGATTTCGTCCAGCACCTCACAAAGCTGATCAGCACAGTCTCTCAGCACCCTCCCTGGGATATTGTCTGGGCCAGTGGCTTTGTGAGAATTAATCCTCCTGAAGATCCTCCTTGTTTCTGCTGAGGTCACACTGAGAAACACCTCTTCCGATGATGAAGTGAGTCTGGTGCTGGGTGGTCTTTGGGTCTTCAAAGCGGGCATAGAACCTGTTAAGAGCATCAGGCAGAGATGGGTCCCTAGGGCATTGTGCACTTCTGCTTTTATAGTTTGTGATGCACTTATTATCTTTCCATATGCTCTGTGAGTCCTGTGAGAAGAAGTGTCCCTGGATCTTCCATGGGTATTTTGATTTGGCCCTCTTAATATCAGCAGCCAGTTCTTTCCTTGTCCTCCCCAGTTCATGCGAGTCACCAGACCTGAAGGCAATGTTCCTGTCTTTCAGTGGGGCATGCACTTCTGCGTTCAGCCAGGGTTTTTTGTTCGGGTATCACTTCACATTCCTGGTGGTGGTGACCTCTTCAGAACACTTGCTTATGTATCTGAGGACAGCAGATGTGTATTCCTCCAGATCCAGTTCTTACTCATATACAGTGGCCTACACTGAAGATCTGCCAGTCTGTGCATGGAAAACAGTCCTGCAGTATATAGTAGATGTCGTTGGGCTACACGTTGATGGTCCTCTGTGTAAGTCTGGAACATCTCAGCAGGGGGAGGTAGACGGGGCCATAAAGATGAAGATGTGGTCAGAGGTCAGAGAGGCCAAGGTGGAGGCGGGATACAGCTTTATATGTGTCTCATATGTTGGTATAAATGCTGTCTAGTGTGTTATTTTCCCATTAGCATTAGTCTTCAATCTTTGCTAAACACGCCGGACCATCTGCCCCTCTTCTTCCCCTGGGCACAGCACCTCCTCCTCCCCATGGAGCACTGTTGTCTCCACGGTGATGTCCGTAGAAGCTGCAATCTGCCAAGCATATTTTTCAGATCGTTGTCGATTGCTGCTGTATCCCGAGTCAAACCTTCTCTTATGCTAATAAGTTCGGTTCTTCTATAATTCACTTGCTTAAAGCAAGCGGAGTCGGGCTCGGAGCCAGTTTCAAAACTGAGAAAAACTGGGTTTCCACAGAGAGCCTGAGAAGCTGCGGCCTGGATGAGCACGGCCATTTTGGCAACTTGTTCAACCTTTTCTAATTGTCCTGTCGTGTCATGGCCGTTGACCTTTCGCTGCTAATGGAGGCCTGTAGTCTGAGATGGAGCTAATTTCTCTGAGCCTTACACAGTCTGACCTTAGGGGTGAATTTGCTGCTGCTTCTTGGTAAACTGGCAGCTGTCATCAATGTTTTCCGCTTGTGAACAGTCTTTCTCTCTGTGGGATGATGGACTCGTAAGTAGATTGGAAACGACCTTTGACCCTTCTCAAATTGATGGCAACAACAGTTGCTTCTCTGAGGTCATTGCTGATGTATTTCTGCATTGTCATTGTTAACATACCTGTATGCTTCAGAGCAGCAAAGCTCCTGCTTTTCTAGAAGTGGTCCCATTGGTCAAGTTCATTTAATCAGTACATTTGATCAGATAGTGAACCTCTGAAATCCTGTGGAAGCAGCAATGCTGGAACCAGTTTTCACTCTGTTCTTTAGTTTTGTTTTGGCTTTTGTTTAATTAATAATGGCAAAGTAAATCTGTTGTGTGGTCTTGTAAGATTTGAATGATTTTAGAACCTGGTAAAAAAAACAGATGGATTTTATTATGTCCTGATACATAAAACCACAGAACTGACAGGATGTGAACCTTGTCTTTTCCAGTACTATAGCTGATAATGAAACCATCACACTTGTTTGGGATGTAGAAACTGCTTCAGGTGGGTCAAATATCAAGTCGAGAACCAGAAACCAGTTGAGACCAGAAACACAAAGCAAAAACAGATGGTTTGCTCATGAGTTCAAACTTTGTCAGAAATGACCCACCATCACCGCCATCCGACACGAGAGCAGGAAAAAATTAAAGTTTTTCTAAGTTCGGGAGTTTTGTCATTTTAGTCCACATTTCTCAAACATAAAATATGAATGAAAACTGTTGATGTGAAGCATTCAGTTCTGCCGTGCAACCCACACATTCTGGACCAGTACTGTCTGTTTCAGCTCAGCTTCACCACTGGTAGATGACTGAATACAAACTTCTCAGTTCTGGTTAGCAGCCAGTTTAATTCTGCAACCAGAACACTCCAATCTGCACATGAAACTAACTGTTTCTGCTGGTTTAACATGGTCCTGTCTAAACTGTTTTTTACATTTACACCAAATAGCTCTGATGTTCTGATTCAGGATCCATTTTGTTCCTTCGGGTGCTTGTCCAATTTTACAGAAACTTTGATATTTCCCCATGTGTCACAAGCTGTATGACCTCATCAGAACAGAGACGGATCTCAGCAGAAACCAGACAAATTCTGTACTAGACTCTGGCTGACTTTTTCATCAGAAGTCTGCATGTTATGAAAAAAGATGGATTACAGAATAAAACTAGTTAAACTAGTGTCTTTTGGGCCTAAGGGCGGGATGGATCGTTCTGTGCTCATGTAAGCAGTCTGCAGCTGGTTACAAAGATGATGGTCTGCCCCATTTCAGCACAAGTCACAGGAGAACAGACATTTCACCATCAACATTAATAAAGATGGACAAAGCTTCTAACCTTGTAATCCAGAGTTGAAACCAAAATGTCTTGTTTTTTGGAGCAGCCATGTTGTATTTTGGAGAGAACGTCACAAGCATGGGCTTTGCCCTTGATACTAAACCCCTGCCTTCACACACTGGCTATCAGTTTGTCAATAACAATGTAACATGATGTTTTTCTTTCAGACTCAAAAAACTCACTGAAAATAAATGTATTTTTTTATGCATATTTGAACAAACAGCAGCAAGGTAATAATTACATGAATGACCAAAAATTAATACCTGAAAAAAAAAATTGAAGTTAATTTTACCTTTTCAGTCAGAAAATGGCCATTACATTACACCAAGGAGCAGGATGCAAAACATGTACTGTAGACAGCCACCAGGAGGCGCTCTACCATTGTAGGTTCAACTTCCCGCTTCTGGTCAATTGCAAACAAAACTCAATGATTCCACCAAAAATAGGACAAAAAGGATCTGTGATGTTTCAGCTGTCTTACTGCTTGATGGATGCTTAGTTAACAAAACAGAACCAACACTGTTGGACCATCACTGTCAGGACCTTGTATAAACATTCATGCTGT